GTACAGAAAGTATCTTGGTTCTTCTTGCAAAAACCAGGAGCAGAGCAGCACAGACCTTCTGGGAAATGAATGGGACTGAGAGAACCATTTTGAATAGCCTCACTGACCCTCAAAAACATCTCAGACTATCCCAGGGATCAGAAAAGAGAGCAGCAGCACAGCCAGCAGATCACAGCTGCTGCACTGTGCTCTTTTTTCTGCAATTAAAAGAACATCTCTCACCTGATCAGTTACTTCCTTAGTAGCTGAGTTCTTCCCTTAGAAAGTGGCAAGTTTTATACTGAGGACAAAATCATCTGACATGAAAAGATAATTTTGAAACACTTTGTATTCATCAGTGCTATGTTTCATATTATATTGATAGAATGGAAATCAACAAAAAACTTGAAATGTTTACTGATTTAGTTATATATTATCTAAACTGGACGCATCAAGTTTAAGGTTTTTAATGACGTTTTCTTAAAATGGTGCTTGCAGACTTGGATTCTCTGACAAGACTGTTTATTGAAGAGTAAATAACAGATCTGCATGCTAATCACTTGGCCACTGACTCATAATTTTTCCATGGTAATTAAAATGCTTAGAATGCCCCCCACTATGGAAAAGAATATATAACATGATAAGGACGTATTTACTTTTACGACACACTATTCCAGAGATGCTGCTGCTCAGCCTTGCATTCAAGTATAAATAATGTTGAGAAATCAGGTCTGGGAAGGTAACAGTGCAGCCTTTCAGAGGATTTGAACTGAACAGTGTCAGCAGTGACATTTTAACAACTGTCAGCAAGAAAATGCATTGTTACTTAACCAAAAATGCATTTGACATGAAATCAAACATTTTACGTAGTAGCAGATACAAAAGATGTGTATCAGCAATATACCAAATACTGCTAAATAATGTATTTTAAGCTCCTTTACTTGAAGGTGAGTGGAGGAAGTTATTTTCTTTGATATAACTTTATTTTTAACTGAGCAGAACTTGTATTTGTACAATCAAACTGTGTGCTGGGTCATGTATGTGGTTTGGATATGAGAACAGCAGGTTTAACAAGTGTATCTCAGATGAGGGAATCCAGGATATCCTGTTAGGTTTTCATACCACTGATCATGACAGGTGATAGTTGCCATTTCTTAATATTTACTGGAAGCAGTGCTGTGAATTAGCCCTACAAAAAACAGTGGGCATTTCTTTCTAAACACTTTAATCCAATGCTTAGATTTAGGAGAGTTATTTTCTAAACCATTAAAGCCAATTCTTTTCTCAGTAGCAATGACTGGGATACAGTTTCTTCCTACTATAGTAAAGTTATGTTGCATGGCTCAGCCCTGATGAAGTTTGAAAAATAGCATCTAACTGTTGTACTATGCCTTTTTCCTCAGCAAATCTTGAACAAAAAACTTGGAAAAAAATCCTTTTGGAAAACTCATGTTTTATGTAAATTTTGGGGATGTCAGTTTAAAACATCAATAGTATTTTGGATATCACATGCAAATTAATCATGAGACTGAGGATCAAGGAAGTTGGGTTCTAGACCTGCAAATGAATGTGCCTGGTCTTGGCCTAATTACTCCAGCTATGATTTACTGCTGATTTCGTCCTCAGCTTAAGACACATTAAGGAGGATAAAATATTAGGAAGTGTGGAATAGTAACAGATTTTTTGACAAAGAGAATATTTATTGATGAAGCTTCAAATCATTATTTGCTCTTAAAAATCTCAAGCAGCACTTTGATTTTTCCACAGTCTGTTGGGTCAAAAACATTTATTTAATAGGCAGGTGGCCTTGCTAATTGAAATAAGCAATTCCCTTTAAGCCTAATTTAAAATAAATTGTAATTTCAGTGGGAATTGTGTGCCCAAATCCCTTTACAGCATATGCTTTCAAGGCTCCCTAGAGAAATGTTCAAGTGGTGAGAATTTTTAGCTTAGTACTTCTGCTGCAGGGTTATGTCAAACTGGAAGACCCTTATATTATCCACTGATTGTTCTGGCATAGCATGGAGTATGCAGTATGATAAATAATGAAAGGTTCCAATTTTCCACTGCCTCTTCTAGTCTTTTATATCTGCGCAGAAGAAACATAACACTTTATTATTCTAACTCAGTAGCATTTCACATCCACCTAGCAAAGACAAAAGTGACAAAGCCAAAGTCAGTACAGTCAGTGAAGAATGAACCAATTCCAACATTAAAAATGGTGTCGCCGTCCATTCTTCCTCAGGATTGATTTCACTCAGATTCAAAGCTGGATCTGTTTGTTATTCTCAGAAACATTATTATTTATTGTATTTATCATTATGAAGTTGCATTCTGCAGAGTCATAATTATTACTAAATTCTGGTGACAGAATAGTAATTGTAAGCAAAAAGAAATACACCGTAATTTTCCTTATTTGCTACCATGTGAGCAGTCTTTCTGCATGTAAACACTACAAGCAACTGGAGATATTGTTAAATATTGAATGCAACAAAGCTGCCTTCATAGATTTTTTTTTTTTTTTGAGAATTAGTTGCTTATTCTAAACCAGAGTTTAGTATGTATTGCATTTCAAAAGAGGTAATGCCCAAAATTTTACTCACTATTGGATTTCTGCAGCTTACAAAATCCAAGCTTCCAGTAATAAAATAATGTTGTCAGAATGAGCAGTCAAATGTCCTGGGTCAGCAACTATTCTCACAGTGAGACAAATTCTGCAGATTAATATACTGACAATATTCATTCTCTTTCACAAAAAAGAAATGCATTGATCCTTGCTTTCAGGAACTAAAAGTTAGTTACTTTCCTGAAGGCTTCTACTAGGGCAAAAATCAATGATCACTTATAATTTATCTGGAGGAGGAAAAGCTTGACATAGCTGCTAACCATGAAATTTGACTTGAACTTTCTTACAGAAAATGCAAAATATGGATTTTTTTTCCCCTGAGAAGTATTTCTAAATATGACAGAGAGTATATAGCTTCTGTACACCATACAGTATATATTGTTGTGACTGAATTCACTATTCAAAATTCAGAATTTATTCAACGGGGTTATTAGGAATTTTTGTTCTCTATTTAGTCAGTATCATTCCTTACACTCTACTTGCCATTAGTAGAGACAGAGTAAAAATGTATCTCCTTATTAGACTCGGACATCTTAATTCACAGTCATTCTTTATTAACCTTCTTTTCAAGAGAAATACAGTAAAGATGCACAAATATCTGACTTGTTAAGCCCATTCTCTTTCAGGTAAGGAACTTCAAAATCTCTAAATCTGAAAGGAATTTCAGTTTAAATTGAAACTGAGAATTGAAACTGCATCAGTTTTACCCTAACAAACATACAAATACAACACTCATTTCAGGGAGACAAATACCCACAGTCCTCAGAGACTGAGGCTGAGATGTTAAAAACCACCTGTGGAATTTCTGCAGCCAAATCCTTTTAAAATTAAATATGTAATTTTCCAAAGTTTTCCCAAAGCTCTTCCAAAGCCCAGGTTCCTAACATTCTCTCTGGTTACCTTGATGTTTTCAGTGCAACAGGAAAGATGTTTTAAAGGTATTTTGAAAAAAGAGCTTATGAGAAGTTCAATAACTTTAAACACTGATATATAATGCCATGGAGCAACCTTACAAAAACTATTCACCATTATTTCAACCTTTTCCCAATTATTTCTGAAGCCAGAGTTGCTAGCTTCTGTTTTGCTACCTATACCCAATTTCCACTAAAATCAACA